GATTATATTTTCCCACGTTGGGCGCCATTTGATTAAATATTGCCTGCATATTGAAACAAGTTTTTTTTTTGCATTTTTTAAGTGATACAGACACAAAAATAGCTCAATAAAACTATAAAAACTTTACCCGAAAAAAATTGATATTTTAATATATCATGTAGAGACTTTGTGAACAGAAATCGAATGATATTTTGAAAGATTATGCAAGTGATATAGATTTTTCTATGAATTCTACCAACGATTTGTTCGCACGTTGGGCGCCATTTGAATAAATTTTGCCTGATATGTTTATATTTAAATGTTATAGTTAAATATGATCTTTTGAAAGATTATGCATATGATACATATTTTCACGTTGGGCGCCATTTGATAAATATTAAATAAAATTTTTATATTTAAATATATTAGCACAGTAATAATAAATAAAGGGTAAGATAAAAAAACTGCAACAAAGTCAAACGCCATAATTTTTATGTTTTTTAACTATTATTGAATGAAAGCAAGAAATGTCGGAAATAGCATCAAATTGTAGAAAAAGTTTAGCTTTGTTCGAATTGGTCACCTTTGGCACGAAGTAAGGCCTTCAAACGGCCAATGAAATCGTCGCACGCTGCCCGAATGTTGCTCTGCGGTATTTTGGCCCATTCCCGCTTGTTGGTATTTTTTAGTGCCAACCTTGCTTTCCAAAATACTCCAGACACAATAGTTCAACGGATTGGTATCCGGAGATTTTGGTGGCCATTGTGCGCTAGAAATGAAGTGAGGAATCTCATTTCGTTTCGCACATGAGTGCGATACTGCTGAGTCGTGTTGGAAAGACTTGAGTGCTCTAACGATAGCCACTTGTGGTTTTCCAGGCAAATATAAAGAAATCACACAATCCCGCTTGAATTCCATCACGAATAACTTTTTTCTGGAAAATTCTCACCAAAATGCTTTTGTACACTTGTGAACAATATAATGAGCTGTCACTTGAATAATTTTATCAGCTGTCGGACGAGTGGCTTAGAAATGACAGCAGTCTGAAGTCTGCATTTGTCTGCCATTTCTATTTTGGTGTCTTCCTTGGCTCATCTATAGGTGGAGAACTAAGAATCTATAAACATTTCGATAAAAAAAATATTAAATACGTTTAATTGGTATTCTCTCTGTAGTAGATCGCCCTTATCTCATAAGAGTACGAAATTTTGTTGATCTAAATATAGGCTTAATTTTGGAATTTGCAAAATTTAGGATTTCTTAGATATATGAGACCCAATATAAGTCTGAAGTTAATATAATATAAGTCTAACTAACTTCGAAAAAATCGCAATCCCGCAAAATTGGCAACACCGAGCGAGTAAAAGTAAAATCTGTTGTTTTTGAAAAATAAACAAGCCAAAGAATAATGATTCCAATGTATCTGTACGAAACGCGTGTTCTGTATTGTTTATATACTATGCCGTTATATACAGCGACCCCATATACACATACAACGACCATTAAAAAAAAACGCACACAGATTTTTACTCTTTGGTTTCAAAACAGACGTTCATAAAAAAAAACGGCAGAAAAAAATAGGTGGATGGATGGATGCTCGGATGGGATGGATGGATGTCAGAGAAACATAAAACTGTTTCATTTGTTACACATTCACAAAATGCTCTTAATGCTAGTATTGCTGATGCCGAACGACCATGATGCTGTTGATGATGATCCACCATCCCAACCACCATCGCCATCACCATCATCATGATAATGATGACGATGATCATGCTGGTGGCAATGGTTGGTGATGGTGATGATCTGTGGTGCTCAATTGTTGGCGGGTTCAGGGTTGCCGGGATCTCTCAATTGAATGTGTTGATTTTAATAATTAGGATAGTTTGGGGATTCCCAGGTTTACCTGAGGATATGTTACTTATTTCATGTAGAATATCTGGTCATGTTTTTTTTGTCGAACTTAGAAAAAATCTTCACTTATATATCACTTATACATATGAACGTTTATTGTGAATTTATATGGCAACACTGATTGATGCTTTTTGTTTACATTATTAGGCCATTGATGATTTAAATTTGATTGATGATTTTTCTTTAACAGAAATTTCCAATTCTTGAGCTTTTTCAATTTTGGTCAGGTTTTTGGCCAATTTTGTTTAGAATGGCAACAATGTTGTATCTGATTCCAAAAAACCCAAATAAAAATTTAGTAAAAAAATCAACCATCATCAGATTAACAAGCACTCAGCCATCAACATTTTGTTTTTGGGGTGATGTTGTCTGTCACAGAAAACAAGAGCCACACACACATAAATACATACATGCAAGCACATACACAGAAACACATATGCCACGCATAACCGTCAGCTTTATAATGATCCCCACGTTTTGCATTAAGTCCAAAACAACACCCATCATTGAGAGCCTCATCTCCTTTACTCTCTGAGCATAAGAGGGTGGTGAGAGGGCCATGGCATGGCCACTACTTCTGTCTGATGATCCCAAATTGACGATGATTGATTTGCTGCTGATTGATTGACAGCATTAATGCAAAAATCGATCAGAAAACCCCCTCGATGCAATTTTCGTTAATCTGTTTTGAAGATTTTTGAGAATTTTGAAATAATTGTATTTTTTTGCCTCTCTTGACAACTGATCAAAGTGTCTTGTCTGTTGGTCTCCATGTTTGAGAGTGTGTCAATTCCGGTAAAATGTTTCAACGTTTAATGAGAGGGACAGAGAATATATTTAGAAAATTTGTTTTGATGAGGTCATTTGCGAGGAAAATGAGGGTAATTCTCAACGACAGATAATGAGGTGAAATGATTCATGCAAATTGATTTGAGGAAATGTTGTATTTAAATGCAAGTGGATTAAGTTGAGATGAAAGCAAAAGCTGAAAAGATAATGGGAAAATGAATTAGAAGTTTTTGTGATTCAACATTTATTGGAAGAGTGATGAAGTAATCATGCCTCGATTCTTTATTGCAAGTATCAAAAACCAAATATTTTCTCAGATCTTTAAAGAGACACTTAACAGACCAGCCGTAGAAGGGCGGCTTTGTTGGATATATTCCATATACAGTGGTGGCCATATCATATGCAACTAAGATTCATCTACGTTAAAAGGCTATATAAATTTGTAAATTTCACAACGAAGTATATAAAGATGGGTTAATTATAGTCAATACGTTCTTACGATTTCAAATTATTATCAAAATGTGCAGCTTTTGTTTATATCTCTATGTTCACAGGTGTTTTGTTGACAAATATGAAATTTGGTGTGGTCAAAACATATGCAACTTTATATATTTGGTTTAAATAACGGCATTTTTACAATTTCCTTTGTTCTATTGTTCTTCTTATTATTAGCTAGAGACACTGCGTAAAGAGATTTAAAGCTACATTCACATTTTTATTGCGTTGTTTTTTCACAAAGCTACAATAGAGTTTGGTCAAAAATGGCACGCGATAAATTTGGATTTGAGCTCAGACAACGAATTGTGACTGCGTATTCTTCTGGATTATCACAGAAATGTATTGCCGAGAAATATACCGTTCATAAAAGCTCCATATCGCGCATCATTAATAATTACAAAAAAAATTCACAAGTCTCTGTTATACACCGTGGTGGTCGAAGTCGAAAAACAAGCGATCGGACGGACAAATTAATAATCAGACACGTGAAAAAAGACCCATTTATATCTTCCTCTAAGATAGTGGAAAGATTTCAGTTGCCAGTTTCTGCTCGCACCATCCGTAGAAGACTTTTACAAGCCTCCCTCTGCGCAAGACGTCCTGCAAAAAAAAAAAACCACTGATATCGAAGCGAAACCAGAAAAAGCGTTTGGAATTTGCTAAAGCTCATATAAATTGGACAGAGAGTAAATGGAGAACTATATTATTTAGTGATGAGTCCAAATTTAACATCATTGGTAGCGATGGCATGTGCTATGTAAGGCGACCAGAAGGAAAACGACTCGAAGCACGTTACTGTAAAAAAACGGTCAAGCATGGAGGGGGCAATATAATGGTGTGGGGTTGTTTTTCTGGTGCTGGAGTTGGCCCCCTACATAGAATTGTTGGTATTATGGATAGATTTATGTATAAAGACATATTGCAAAGGGTAATGCTCCCATTCGCAGAATATAATATGCCATTGCGGTGGGTCTTTCAACAGGACAACGACCCCAAACACGCTTCGAAGGTGGTCAAATCGTGGTTTGCCGATAATAGAGTTACGGTAATGGAATGGCCACCCCAATCCCCAGATTTAAACCGAATAGAGAACCTGTGGGAAATCGTAAACAAAAAAATTGATCGAGAAAATTGTACAAGTTTAGATGTTTTATTTTGCCGGCTGGAAGATGCCTGGAAATCAATCCCAAAAAGCGTCATTGACAATCTTATAGCGTCAATGCCTCGAAGATGTCAGGCTGTAATCGACAACAACGGATTTGCAACAAAATATTAACTTTATTTGCACTTTACTGAGCTCGATTTAATTAGTTGCATATGTTTTGGCCACTTCATAATAAGACTGAATATCTTTTTCTAATTTTTTTTTTATAAATGAATTGAATATCTATGGAGTATATGTTTTTTTCTTAAACTACAAGCAATAAAAAATAATATTTAAAAAAATAATTGCATAATTTTGTTTTCAGAAAAATTTTTCACGGTTTTTGGTAAAGGTTAGATTTCAGTTGCATATGATATGGCCACCACTGTATATATATAACATAAGGAACTTGTAAACATTAAAAATCTCACATTAAGGAATACAGTTCTATGCTTCAAAATTATATCTCTGAACATAATCAGACATTATTATTCTCCGCTACTCCACTTCCAATTTTGATATTTTTCTAATCAACAAACGCGCCTAATTGTCTTGTTTGCTGCAGGGCCTAGAAAATATCCCTTCCCCTCCCCCGTAATTTATTACCAATAGCTTTAAGTGTTTCCATAATATTCCAACGAAATGTCATAATGAAATACTTTCCATTTATTTCAAGGTGCGAAAAATTAACAACAACATCAACCAGCCTTAGAATCTCACTGCGAAATTCACGTAATATTATCATCATCAGCAACATCGGACATGTGTCAATTAACCTCGACCAGACAAGTTGGAAATAGAGGTGAGTGATAAATTCCATTTGGTGTTTTGCAATTCAAATGCTAATGCAAATTAAAAAATAAAAAATGCGAACAATGAATGAATACGGTTTTGGATGACAATGCATAAAAAATAAAACAAGGATACAAAGCCTGGGAAGGGAAACGGCAAATGGGGGTTGTGTCAGAGGCGTGAGGAGAAAATATTTTAGGTAGGATATAGTCAAGAGCTCTTCTAAACATAGGAGATCTTCTCTCCCATTAAAGAAGATGAAGAGCCCGAGGAGATGAAAGTACATGGAAGAGCCCAAGGAGATGAAAGTCACTCAAATTGCGGAACAATTTTGGAGAAGGTCTTCTATAAACAGAAAAGATCGTCAGAAAGTTTAATGCATAGAAGACCGACAGGAGATCTTCTGTCCGTAGACCACCGTCATGAGGACTTCAATTTATAGGCTGTCAGGAGGGCTCCTATATGTAGATAACTGCCAGATCTGAATGTATTCTGTGTATTGGAGACTGCCAGGAAGTCTTATATGTAGGAGACCGACAGCAGACCTTCTATATAAAGGAGACCGTCACGAAGACGTCTAATGTGTCCTTAAAAAATATATTTTAAACAAATAATTTTCATTTTTTTCGAAATATTTGATAAAATTTGTCAAAAAATTGCTTCGAAAAAAGCTTTTTAGAAAAAGACATTTTTAAAAAATCCATGTGAGAAAAATATTTTTTTAAAAATCCGTCACTGATTTCTTTCGAGACAAATATTTTTAAAAAAATTCAAGTCTGATTGCTTTTTGAGAAAAAAATATTTTTAAAAAATCAGCTTTCTGAGTAAAAAATTAACAAAATCGGCGTTTGATTGATTTTTGAGTAAAAAATTAAAAGAAATCGGCGTTTGATTGATTTTTAAGAAAAATATTTTTGAAAAATCTACGTCCAATTATTACTTGAAAAAATATTTTTAAAAAATATTTTAAAATATATATTTTAAAAAATCCACTTCCTACTATTATTTGAAAAAAAAATATTTTTAAAAAATCCACGTCCGATTATTACTTGAAAAAATATTTTTAAAAAATATTTTTAAAAAATCCACGTCCGATTATTACTTGAAAAAATATTTTTAAAAAATATTTTTAAAAAATCCACGTCCGATTATTACTTGAAAAAATATTTTTAAAAAATATTTTTAAAAAATATTTTAAAATATATATTTTAAAAAATCCACGTCCTACTATTATTTGAAAAAAAATATTTTTAAAAAATCCACGTCCGATTATTACTTGAAAAAATATTTTTAAAAAATATTTTTAAAAAATCCACGTCCGATTATTACTTGAAAAAATATTTTTAAAAAATATTTTTAAAAAATCCACGTCCGATTATTACTTGAAAAAATATTTTTAAAAAATATTTTTAAAAAATCCACGTCCGATTATTACTTGAAAAAATATTTTTAAAAAATATTTTTAAAAAATCCACGTCCGATTATTACTTGAAAAAATATTTTTAAAAAATATTTTTAAAAAATCCACGTCCGATTATTACTTGAAAAAATATTTTTAAAAAATATTTTTAAAAAATATTTTAAAATATATATTTTAAAAAATCCACGTCCTTCTATTATTTAAAAAAAATATTTTTGAAAAAACCGCGTCCGACTATTACTTGAAAAAATATTTTTAAAAAGTCCAAAAGTCTTGACTATTACTTTAAAAAATATATTTAAAAAAATCTACGTCCGACTATTTTATAAAAAATAAAATATTTTTAAAAATCCAAAACCGACGATTTCTTGAAAAAAATATTTTTAAAAAATCCACGTCCGACTATGTCTTAAAAAAATATTTCAAAAAATTCAAGTTCGACTATTTCTTAAAAAAAAATATTTAAATAAAAAAATTCATGTCCGACTATTTCTTAAAAAAAATCATTTTTAAAAAATCCACTACCGACTATTTCTTAAAAAAAATATTTAAAAAAATCCACGTCCGACCATTTCTTAAAAAAAATACTTTAAAAAATCCATGTCCAACTATTACTTGAAAAAAATATATTTAAAAATCCGCGTCCGACTATTACTTGAAAAAAATATATTTAAAAAATCCACGTCCGACTATTACTTGAAAAAATTTTATGAATTTTTAAGAAATCCAAATACGACCTATTTCTTAAAAAAATATTTCAAAAAATTCAAGTTCGACTATTTCTTAAAAAAATATTTAAATAAAAAAATTCACGTCCGACTATTTCTTAAAAATAATATATCTTTAGAGAGATCAAACAAAAATGCATTCTTATCTCAAGCTGCAGGTCTTTTCAATCCACCTCTCAAGAATCTTAATAGACAGAAGACCTTAAAAAGCTCTTTAATAGATTGAACGATTAGAAGATATCTTAAAGATCTTTCACCAATAGGTCTCTTTTGGATGAAAGACCTATGAAAGGTATTCTTCAGATAGATTAGCTTTCAAATGCCTTCCATTGATATCAGAGATCTATATATAAGATATAGAAGATATTTTTGAAGATCTCCTACTTTTAATTTTCCACACGGCTCTGATAATTTCGTATCGACTTGATATTGTTAACACCTGCATAGAAAATGTTTAAAGGCAAAGAAATCAAGCAAAAAATACATAAAACAAAATAAATAACAATAACAAAATAAATAACAATAATATAATTCCGATTAAATTCAGATGCATCCTCTTTTGTGCAACAGGTAATTTAAATGCATTTTTCATTCATCCGTGCAATCTTAAAGACCTGGGCACCACCCTCTGGCCCCTCAAATACTATTGTATACATTTACTTTAACTTAACGTGAAAGAGGAGGAGGAGGAGGGTTGGGATGAAGGAGAAGTATGTGCACAGCATGATATGTTAAATTCCTATAGTGAAATTTAAATAAACAAAATGAACGAAAAAACACCAACAATTTTTCTCAACACGAGGAAGTAAAGCGGGGAGGTGGAGGAGTAGGACGACGATCTTAACAATTTTCATTAGAAATCAGGAGAGAATAGAATGAACGGGAGGGCCGCCGACACGTTGGGCGATTTAGTTCAGTGATTTTTGTTGTTTCGCTGTTGGCCCAGATGTTTTGGATAGATTTTCCATGCTGTACGAAATCAAAACAAAGGAAATGGAAATGGAAAAAAAAACAGAGAAACTCAAAGATTTTGTAAAACAAAACTGTTGAGAAATATGTTTTTTTCGGGACTTTTCAAGCGATTAATAATATTTTCAAAACAAGTTGCTTAATATGTTTTTTGTCATTAAATTAAACTTTTTAATGCCAAATTTGTTTTGGAATACCAATCAATGCCGTTTTTTTTTAATTGACTCTTTTTTTTTTTAAATAATTTATGAGTTTATCTGCTTAAAATTCCCAGCATATGATGTGGAAGCATGTTTGCTCGTTCGATCGATTGCGAGGCGATTGATATCTATCATTTCTGGGTGGGGACTACCACGCTCCGCAAATTCCGATTTAAATATTTTACTTTGTAATGCGGCGGCGGCATTTATTTTCTTGGCATTGATTGCCGTGACATGATAACAATTAAACACACATTTTTCATAAAAGCGGGGTCTTAATACGCTCCCCCCATCCCTCTTCCCACATATTCCCAATAAGTTATGAGCTCAATTGAGGTTGAATACACTTGCAGCGTGTGATAAGAATGCATTTTTGTTTGATCTATCCAAAGTTTATTTTTATTATTAGATTAGCTTGATTGCCTGCCACCCTAAATGAAATTGGGGTTAAAGATAATCTAACCCCTGCCCTGTTCAAAATTTTAGAATATAATGTAATGTAAAGCCGTAATATTTCAGTCAGATAAGATAAAGTGAAGTTTATAAGGTTATTAATCTAGATCTCGTATCAAATGGGTTCTTAAAAAGCTAGGGTGTTTTTTTTTTGAATTTTAGAAAAAATAGGTACTGAAAACGCGGTTAAAAATTTAACGGTATTTTAGGAGTTTTTAATGGCAAGAGGCCTTCCATAGGTATTTAGGCAATAGATTTACAAGAATTTTTCATCTAAGAACCTTTGGGCAATTCAATTGTGAACATGGGTTTATTGAGCTGGGAGTAATGCACCTGAAGAAAATAACTCTACAATAAATATTTAACACAGAACCATTCTTTTACGAAACTAAAAATATTAAAAAAATCTGACGTAGAATTTTTATTTTTCTTTTTTTTTTTCAAAAAGCTGCCCAAAGTTTACTTCATCAGTCGAAGATTTTTTAAGAAAAAATTTTCAAAAAAAAAAACTCTTAGTTGTGGATTTATTTAAAGATATATTTTTCAAAGAACTATTAGATGTGGATTTTTCAAAGGAGGGGCTCTTTAATCCACTTCACACTGGAAATTAATTTTTATTTTTGTTTTTAAAAATAAATACATTTTTTGGGGTAATTTGGGCCCACTGATGTCAAAAATATTCTCAGAAAATATTTTGCGATTTTTCGTTTTTCCAGAAACCAGTGTTCGTAATTTCGAAGAGTCAAGTTTACACATATGTAAAGTCACGCTTGAGAATGCAAATCATACTTTTTATATTTAGTGTAACGGTTACATTGATTGACAATAATTTCTCATCATTAATTTTTCCATTTATTATTTTTTAAAATTAATTTAAAAAGTATACAAAAATATGGGTTTAAGAAATGTGTCTTACTATTGAGGGGGATTTTTTTAATTGCTGACATATGACTTTTAATACCTACACAGAAATTTGTTTAAAATGTTACCCTTTTCATAAAAAAAAAATATTTTTTCTAAAAAAGGGTATTATAGCGAAATGGGTTAAGATGAATTTGTCTATCATTTGTCTACCATGCTCTATTAGATGTGATTTAAACTATTTCTTTCGAATTTTTAAAACATAACGTATAAGGGTTTTAACAATTATTTTTCAAAGTCTATACACATGGATTTTTTTAAAATATATTTTCAAGGAACTACTAAATATTGGTTTTTATAACCTCAGCCATATGACTAC